ATTAGGCGAGATTGTACACAAAAGAAATACAACCACGGTGGAGGGTCAGCGGAGCAATCATGGCCATACTAGTTTACAATCATATAATGATAACGATAGTTTATTCCTGCTTTGAACCAGCTAGTCCAGCATAAAAAAACACATAAATGGATTATACCCGAGAGACTGAAATAATATGTTTTCAATTGTTGTTGGAGTTTACTCGTGTATAATATCAGACCCACATCAATAAACCATCTACAAGAAAACGTTATGTAACACCCTTAACAGTGTGTATGACAATCATTCTTACGGTATGTATATTCCCAGATTGTAAAAGACAATACTGTAGAATATATTTTATTTTAGCTGAAATTATCTTCATTATCTCATTTTTGATGATATTGTAACGTTTTGCCCCTTTTGTTGATAGGTGAAGACAGGTAGCGATTTCCCATCGGCAGGTGTTCTTTGTAGTGAAAATATATCACTCAGTGGGACTGGTGCAGGGCATGGAAGGTACTAACGGAAGGAGCCACGACGCTATTGTTTTAGCTTTACCCCATGATCGTTTGTCAATGTTTGTTCACAAACATTGTTCTTGTTAGCTTTTAACACCTTCGTACAATGGGTTATGCTAATCTCGAGCATTCGGTAATATTCGGAGCTCGTTCGGAAGCGATAGTCGTACCTCGCATGTACACTTCTGAAAATGGCGAACTTTAATGGAAAATTGTCAGATATAACATTGATTGAAGAAGAACTGATGAAATATCGTGAATTTTGTATTTGTAATGGTAATGAGACTTAATCAATGATTGCTTGTGACGATTACATTATTCAATGGTACCATTGTCAGTGCGTGGGTTTGGCGCCCGAAACTGTCGAAATTTTTGACCACCGGACATCGGCGAACACCAACAGAAAAGATAGTATCGAAAGAAGAGCCTGCCTCGACACTTTCTCTGTAATAATATTTCTTAGGAGTTCTTAGGAATTGTTGTTGTATGCACTCGAAATCTTGTCATAGTTACAGTTGCTAATATTTAAAACATGGGAAATTTGTGAAGTCAAACGTTCATCTGTTGAATTTCCGGTTCTGAAATACGTATTTTGACCTTTTACACCTAAACAAACCCAGTGAGCATGTGTGATGACCGTAGTTTCTTAATGCGCATATATTTCATAGTCACATTAAAAAAATGGCGCGGTTGTATCATACTCAGCTAACTCGTTACTTGTGTAAACAATCGCAAACTATCATGGACATCAAAGATGAGCTAGACAATGGCCTTATCAGGATTAATTTGGGTTGAAACAAAAGGAAATAAGCCAATTAAGAGGCTTAAGTTGCCACTTGATAGGCGTCGTGGCTCATTCCGTTAGTACCTTCCATGTGCAGGGTAAGGGAATTTTTTGATAATTTAATCACTTTAACACAGTATACGCTGTTAACCTTTTTTTGTATTAATAATACAATAATGATATGAAGTAGAATGAAGTTACGTGGGGTCACACGGGTCACAGTCACATAGACTTGCAAAGACAACAGTGCATTGAAGCTGATGTCTCGCAATATCTTTACTGAGAACTTAAAGCAATGCACAATGCACAAAGTTATCTCTATATTCTTTGTCCAAGCTCTGTGGAGTGCAAGCCTTTAATTCTTCAGGGGTCGGCTTGATCTTGAGGTCTTGTAGGTGAGTTATATTAGAACTGACCAAAGAGTGGTGGTATGTGTGCCAATTTATAGCAGTTTGTATGGGGGTGACTGAAGCCAAAATTAGGCTGAATCAATCAAAAATATTCGGGTATTCCATTGGGTCGCGTACAAATAAAAACGATTTGATTGGTAATGGGGTCACATGATCCGCCAAAATAGGAAATACCTGTCGAGCTTAGTCAAATGACATCAGGCAATTAATCAAGACAGAAAGTTGCATCAATTTCACACTTCAGCACCCTTGGGGGGCACAGAAAAACATCATGACCTAGTTACCGGGGATATCAAACTACGGTAGCTAGTTCAATTGAGTAGGTCACCTTCAAGGGATGTATCAACCAGCTTTCTGCGACGATATATACATATAAAATATCGGGAAAAAAACGTATATTCGCTGAATCATAAATTCCGAGCGAAAATACACTATATTTTCTAGTTGTGTTTATCCTGTACATGCCTGTAAAACAAATATCAAATAGTATACTTACCACATTGAAACACAATCCTGCCCATCACTGCTCAGTTGTACATTATTGTTCGGTTGTCCGCTCGCCCACTTGGTAAACCCAGCACTAACCGCTGACCCATCAGACCAAACAAAGCTTCCTTCATTGTCACGGTCATCAAGCCCAAACCAGAAACCCTTCTGTACATTATCATCTAGGTTATTATCGACGATGAATTTCCGAACACTTTGGAATTTGGGTTGTGTGTTTAGCACGGCTAGTTCACCGCCACCACTGGCGCAGGTAGATTCAGCACTGGCGTAGTTTACTTCGTCTGAATGTACGTCGTAATATTTACAATATTGAGTCAAACGATTTACGTTTTCACCTGAAAATATGTATATATTTCGTATAGCATACATTATTTGGGCATTGGTCTGAGGTTGATGTGAAGTGTTAAATTTTTCAGTGTGAAAAAAGAGTGACGGATAATAAATGTGTTAACAACCCAGATAATAATTTTAAATATTTCGTCCTTTGAATTTGACAATAACAGTTTTAAGCTATTGTCTCTGCGACAGTCTCCGTTTGTCACACGCAACGTAATATTACCGTAATTGGTATAGTACAGGTGTGATGGTTCAAATACCAAAATGGCAACAGTAACAAAAAGACTTCCCTGGCGGCGATGATAAAATACGAACACGGAGCCAACAGATGAGGTTTCAACTGGTACTGGTATTATTATACTCTGCAAACATCAAGTACAATAATGCGGTAAAACTCCACTACTCCAATAACTAGATACTTAAACTCCAATACAATTCAACGAGATCTCCGATCTGATCTCAGTGCTGAACAACTCCCCTATATATACCCACACTGTCTATAAATAGACCATTACATCAGCATACATAATGAGTCTGGAACTTACTACAAATTTCTAGAATGTTCCATTACCTTCTACAGTGCCCTATTACCTATTCAACCAACTTCTAAAAATTCCACCCAGACACA